TTTCTAAAGTAATTACTGAAGTTAGATTCGAAATATTGTCCCATTCAATTGCAGTGCGAGGATGGTCACAGAACGGAACCCATGGCGTCCACTTAATCGAAAACAAGTTAAATGTCTATCAGTGGATATATGTAATAAATCAACGTTTCCAAGCTCTCATTGTTTTCTATGCAATCTATGCATGCTCTTCTAGTAAAAAAGGTATGTACCATAGTGTCTGTAGATATCCATTCGTTCGGTCGTTGTTGCCGATGTATACTGGAACCGATCGATAGATANGATGTATACTGGAACCGATCGATAGATACGTTCGTTATGTTGGTCGACATCAGCGCCGCCGTTGATGCTCACGACCTTGGTGGCCGATTAAGCCTGACACGTGATTCACGAAGTAGAAGTGCATCGCTCAAACACAGCAGGGGGGTTCATTAGACACAAATCACCCAGATTGTAATTGCTACGATGACCTTTGGCTGGTGACCTGTCCAATTTCGTCATTTATCTAACAAGGACAACTGCGATTAACGTTCACCTATAGGCTGTCAGTGTGATGGCGGATATGGAACGACTGGAGATGTAGCATCGCGATGATCGTCCACCTGTTAGCGCGAAAGAGTTAATCGAGTAACTAAGTTTCACACCCATCAGCAGATTCATTTTAGGACAGCAAACATGGTGGTGGCTTTGATGACCACTGTAACAAAAATGACCACAGAAGCTAGATAAACATATTCCAGTATTGTACAGCTGTGTATTTGTAGCCAAATCACAAATTGTCGTTTGTCTCAGTTTGGCCCTCGGCTGGAAATCAACAAACGAACTATTTCTGATCAGAATATCCATTTCCCTTGTTATGCTTGATTGCTATTCTTCGATCACAGACAATGTATTACAGTAAACATTTCCGGGACGAACAGTTGAAGGACCAAATCAAATCCAGGTCTATTTTTCGTAACACTGAAGAACAGTTTGGAGGCACCCATGTTACTTTTACATTCGAAAATACCACGACTTTTTTAACTTAGACTAATTGCGAGTGAGGCTTTTGCTATCCCTACCGCGGATACTGTAGAGGTTCAATTTTCCATTAACCAAGTAGGGATGACTGTTCTTCAGTCCTGTTCTCACAAAGCAATAAAAATGAACTGTTCTTTGGATTTACAGGCGGCGGAAACTGTTTGTCTTTTCAAACTTAATGTTCTTGTACACAAAACTGATTTGTCAGCACTGAAAATATCACAATCGGCATATTCATGAATCAACTGCGGTAACCGCGCTCTGTACTCACCCGCTGCATCGCTTGATATCATCTAGCTTGAACCGAAAACATAGAAGACTACATGAGAGTAGTTCCTTGTATGTAACTTTGTAGGATTGAATACTGCATCCGCCTGACCAGGAAGGAAACCAACCTTTGGAAGCCTTGAAGTTACCATGATGCCATGTTTGTGCTAGTTTCATTGGTCTTCTTACAAATGAATCTATTCACCACTGAGAACTGACCGTAATTTTTCCTTACAGCGGTAAACCATGCCACGGTCTTTTCACTAAATATCTTGAAAGTGTCGCTAGGATTATGGTGACACCTTTTCCTGTAGTCCTTGTAGAATTTATCCTTGACTTCTAGTGTACTGCGATCGGTCGATGCATACACCGATACGACGAATAAGCACCGACACTTCGTTCTGCAGCTGTTGACCCGTGCTAAACCGTTGAGAAGTACAGCACACAGTCGGCTACTGATTGGAATCCAGTCAAGGAGCGAGCGCTCAGCCTGGACACTTGGCGCAATCCCAGCACAAGCAACATCGCGAGCTTCGGAAACCGAATCGCCTGACACAGTTTCAGTTCAGTTTAAACAACCATTAACCACGCATATTCGAGCGCCGGTTTTGGTTGCTGTCTTTTGGCCGCCCATTTGGATGAAGAATAGGAAGAGAAAGGAAAGTTGAAAG